CGCTATTCGCTCTCCATGAAAATATTTTTGTTCTCCAATATCACTTTTATTACATTAAAATGACAAAATAGTCATTGACTTTGTTTTTAGGACAAATCGTAATCACATCATCAAACTTTTCTGTTTCGGTGTTCTTCATGAATACGTTTCTTCTTTCTCACATCATCAGAAGTCCCTTATAATGATTACTCCTATTTAAATAGTACCGAAGCATTTTCGAAAAAAGACTAAAATCCAAAGCAAAAAGTTGATGCTTCTCGTTACTTCTGCACTCTAGCAAAAATACTGTTAAAAAAAAAAAAAAAAATTATATTTTTAACTAGCCATTTAATTTTTCAAACTTGTAAACATTTTTTTTTATTAAACATGTTTTCATATTTTTGTTTTCAAAAATCTTGTAACAAATATATACTTACCAAACAAACTTTCAAATAATATTAAATACTTTAAAATAAAAATATTATTTTTGTTTCGATCAAAATAAAAATACAAAACAATGATGATTGTCAAACGTATATCACGAGGACCTCTTTTCCTTGAATGCAGTATGTGAGCACACTTAAATGCATGGAATTGAGAGATCTTCGTCCCTCTAATTCAGTGGACTCGTTGGGCAAGTTTATCACTTCTCTTTTCAATGATCGATCTTCTCGTTGTTATTAAAGTGTGTCTAGAGTTTGGCACGGCATGTCTTGGGCCGATAATGTCGATCAAGGAAAGCAGGTCATTTACTTCACGCGTCATGCATGACATCCTAATTTATGTCCATTTTGCAAAGGAGTGTGAACGTTGAAAAGTTGTAGTAGTAGTAGTCTATCACATTATAACAACGGTTTTGTGACCAAGAAGTTGTTTGTACCATTCAAGTGAAACCATATTGCAATAAGTGCATTCAGGGACCCTATGTCATTAAGTGCAATTTCCAATCATAATGCACGTATTATCTCATTATCAGAAATTTTATAAGTAGGTGAACCAACTTATTTTAAAATAATGCATTGTAATTCACATAATGCGACGCACTTAATATCTACTCGTATAAAATAGACTCGCATGTTTAATTAATGTTATCTAATTTAATCGTTGTTTTTCTTCAACGAAAGAGAAAAAAAAAAAAAAAAATATCCACGTAGTCCTATTTTAAATAGCTACCATTTAATAAATGGACATTGATCCTACCTAAAAGTATTTAAGAATGATATAGGCTTACATAAGCCTTGTCGGTGGAAAAAACAAGAAGAAACATAAAATAAGTAATTACTAATAAATTTATAACAAAAGCTTGATAACACATTGTTAACAAAAGCTTGATTAAGCATTTAAACTCTTAATTTCATAGTAGTAGTACAAATGCTTAGAGTGTCAGAAAGTCAAATTGCCAAACATGAAAAATGGCAAGTTTAAGTAAAAAATTGTCCCTTTTTTTTAACGAACTCAACTCGGGAAGATTACATTAAAAGCAACATAATTAATTGTATATGCATGTGAGTCACATGCATATACAATTAATTATGTTGTACATATATATATATAAACCGAAAACAACTTTTGAAAAAAATGTCTCTGGTTTCCTTATCTTCCTCAAGCATATATGTCCTAAAATTGTCAGAAATTATTAAATAGTCCTGGTCTATTTGATACTTGGTGGACTAATTTAATAAAAATTCTTCGATCATAAAATTTTGTAATTTATTAATACACTCTTGAGGGGCCATCTTCTCAATTCCAGAATTTGTATTTAACTGATCCACCTAATGTTAATGGTTGTAGAACCATTTAATAATTTCTCCAAAATCATACTAACTCCCTGATATCTCTTTTTCGTTTCTTTCAAATTGTATATTTGGCACCACTTCACTTTTAAAAGTATCAAGACTTTGTGGTCCAATAGCATCTCTTTTACTTTTTAAAGTAAATGATAAGAGTTTGAGTATTCAAATGAGCAAAGTGTATGTATGAATTTCTTATCAATAATTAAAAAAATAAATAAATAATAAATAATTTAAAAAGTATTGGCATTTTCCTTTTTAGTAAAATTATTTTATCACAAATAATATATATAGGAGACTGACGGGAGTGATGATTTAATCATGAAACAGAATCCTAAATCACGTGATGAGCGAGATGCGACACGATCATAAAATAAGGTCAAATAAGTGGGTCACTCTCTCTTCAAGCATTAGGACTCATTCACATCAGATATGACATATACAAACACAAATATATGTTTTAATAGTATATCTTTTTATATTTAACACTCCCAAAATGATTTACAATTTTTAAAATCAATACCATACATTTTATAACATTCTTAAACAACCTTTATTACGTTATAATAATAAAATAAATTAAAGTGTCAATGACAACACGTTATTCCCACCAATAATAACCTTTAGACAACTAAAATGTAATAAAATAATATTAAAATTCAATTTCTCTAAAAGAGTAAATTTCAAAGTTGAACATCTAAACTCGAACAGGGAGTATTAATTACTAGCATGTATTATATGAAAAATTAGGAAGTGATCCGTTCCAAAATCATTGTTCTTCTAATTATTTTGCAATGTTATAAAAAATACATATCGCATTTAATTAAAAAATAAATGTAATATATATATTTTTAATAAAATTTCCTAGCTAATACTCATTTGTCTTTTAACAAGGATAAATTTAAAAAATTCACTATTTTCAATATAATAAAAAAAAGGTATTAAAAATTTTCAAACCATAAAAAGTTAGATTCCTAAATACTTCAAGAATTTTGAGACTGAATGAGTACTATTTACGGATAATGATGCATAGAAAGGAAATAAGAATTTTTATGCAATAATTAATAAGATAAAGTCTCTCTCATAAATGTTTAATTTAACAACATCAGTGGACAGGGACTTCCATCAAATTTCTAGTTCTAATTATATCTTTCGTATATATTAAGAAAGGAATAATGCAAAATATTCCACCTAGATTTCTTGCCATTTGAACAATGGATGATAAAACACTTTACCAGATAGATAATTAGTCCAAGTCCCACTTCTGAAATCTCACTTCCCTTTTAGACTTTGTTCAAAGTTATATGGTAAGAATTGTCTTTGTTTGCTATTCCCTTTACGAAACTACTGCACTAAGATCAACTATAAGTCTATAATAATGGTACAAGAAGCCCGCACATTTAAATGACGTTTATTTTGGAACAAAGTATCAAGTTAGAGTTTAGGAGAAAAGACAACTTATTTGTTTGGCTTGTTAAATTTTTCAGATGGAAGATTGGTGTGCGGCGCATGCCAGGAATCACATAACATTCCAAGAGAATGAGCCGAATGATATTTCAGAATATTGTCGGACAATTAGTATTCAAGTGATTGTGAGAGAGCCTTGAATGACAGCTCTCAAGAGTTTTTTTTTTGCCTTTGGAACAAAGAATTTTGGGTTATATGGTTGAAAATAATTAATTAACGAATTGAAAGTGCCAAAATGGAAAATTCAATTGGGAAAGTAATTTTATTAAGCTTGAGAAATAAATTACCAGTGCTGAAATTAATTTGCTGAAAGACAATTGCATAGAAAAGATAAAATAAATAAGTGATGTTTTGAGTGGTTATGGAACTGGTTGTAAAATGTCCTAAACTTCTCTACTTATAAAAGCCTTTGAGTGATGGTTAGGTTACCCTTAAAGTCTTCCCCAAGTATTTCTTTGTTATGCCAATAAAGAGCTGCCGCTTGTACCATATTCCTTATTTCTCTTAACGTATTTCCCAAGTTTAGGCCATATTTTATACTGCTAAAAAATCTTTTCCTATTTTTATGTTATCATGTTTGAATCATGCAAAAATTATTCCATCCAGATTCCATATTGTAAAATGCTAAAAAATCTTTTCCTATTATTATGTTATCATGTTTGAATCATGCCAAAATTTCATCCAGATTCATTCGCAACCACTTCTTGAATATAGAAACCTCTTTAACAATCTTATCTCTAACCAACATGTTATCATCTTGTTTCATTTTTCTAATCATGTTTATTTTTTTGACCTCCATTTGAAAAGTAAGAGGTTAATACCGCTAACGCCCGTTGGTAATCACGCTCTTTTAGATTAATTATAATTAATCCCCATCACTTCTAACATGCCGCCTTGTGGCGACTTAATTCTCATGTAGCGCTATAATCTTGGCACATAATTCCCTTACAACAAATCTCTTCACACACGATTCTTCTTGCTTCATAATTTTGTAAATTTTACTCGCTTCATGAAAAATAATCATCTCATGCCAAATAAAACTATAGCAATTTCTCTTTCTAGGAGCTTACACCATAAATTTTTTATTTCTTTCATGGTTAGACACATGCCACCATTTCATTGATTATTAGCATATTAATTATGTTAATACTGAGTGTGAATCTCTTCTCGGCCATTTGCGATAAAATATGGTAAAAACATTATTATATTTCATCATTATACAAACACTTGATATTTGTCTTCATGAATTAAAATTTGAAAAGATGGAGAAAATATACAATATCTCGGGCCATTTTGTAATGTGATACTTCTCTCAATGAATTTTTTTTTCTTTTCATAAACTGTACAATAATTTCAAGGTATTTTGATTCATGTACTTTTTTCAATAAAAATTCTCAATATAATAGAAAAATGAAGAGTTTCGAGAGAAATGAAATAAGGGCGGAGGAGAAGAGCAAAAAAAACAAAAAGAAAAAAAAGAAGAAGTTACTTTATGGACACTCTAACCATTGCTAACCTTCTAACTCGATATTCCATTAAGTGTTCAATTGGGAGGGCCCTTTGCCTAGCTGGGAAAATGAAGTTTACTTAAACAATCAATTATTGATTAATAATTTGTTTTAATCTTATTTGATCGATGAAGACTTGTCACCAAGATCTTGACTCGTGTGTTATCATACTCCCCTAGGTGGACCTTTTGACGCCTTTCCTCTTTCTATCTCTTTCTCCCTCTCTCTCTCCCAACGTGTATAAATAGGGGGAGTCACTCTGCACTTCTCATCCATCCCTTCGAGCAGAGCAATTCACTTATAGCTGAGTGAGCGTGCTTAATTTTCTACTCTTCTTCATTTCGAAATGGCTTACTCCAAGACTTCCCTTCTTTTTCTTGGACTTCTATTTGCTGTCATGCTCCTCATTTCCACCCAAGTCTCAGCTAGAGAACTAGCAGAGGCAACCCAAACACGTGAGCAGTTCATTCCTCACTTAAATATACATGTTTGTGTATCAATATATATATATATATTCATATGTGTATTTGCTGTATACGTATTTGATATGTAGGTATGTTAGACATCTTTATTCAATGTTTGATGATATTGTAAAGTAGTCTAGGAATTGAAGAAATTCAACTTTTTTTCCTTTGATTTTAATTTCTAGTCAACTATTGTTGCTTAGTAAGCTATTAGTAGCATATTAGTGATGAAAATTTTAAGGATTTCATTAATTATCTTTTAAAGAAGCCTGATCACAACTAATTTTGAGACTGATCATACTTTACAGAGGAAAGTGTGGAGGAGGCTAAGTATCACAAACATGAAAAAGGGCACGGATATGGACACGGACATGGACATGGACATGGAAAAGGACACGGAAAAGGACATGGACATGGCAAACCTGGCCATGGTGGTCACCCTGGACATGGTGCTGGTGAAACCGAATCCAGCGAGAATTAGATGACTCCTGCCCCCAATGGTACTCGTACTCGTATGTATGCTTAATTGTACGTCAAATAAGGCATGGTGTGAAAATGCCACATTAGTACCATTGGTGGACGTCATCAAGAATGTAACAGCTAGTTGAGTAGTCCCAGGACTTCATTTCTGTGTCTTCTTCATGTGCCTTTGTATCTTATGTTATGTATCAATGAAGGACTTGAGTTACTTCAATTACTTGCCCTCCAATGTGATGATTTTAAAATTTTAACAGTAACAAATTTAGTGAACACCAACAAAAGTGGTAAAAAAAAAAGGAAAAAAGAGTTTAAACAGTCACAAATTAAGTGACCAGAAAGATAGATTTAATGGCTACGTACCATGAATAATGAGCCAGAAGTTGCTGATAATTAAGGACGGACGTTAAAAAAAACAAAAAAAAACAGAGGAGGAACGGTAAGGTCACTTGGATGATTCAATCAAGTTGGAGTACTAGAAAGTGACTCCGTTTACCAATGTGGAAAATAGAAGTTTCACTAACCCTATATTTGGTACAGTGAAAAAGAAAAGAAACATTAAGAGAAAAGAAAAGAAAGGAAATGAGAAAACATTGTTAATTACTAAAGCAAAAGAAAGGAAATGATATTAATCATGGAAAGGAAATGAAAGGAAACTATTTAAATAAATTTACTATCATATCATTTTTTCATAAATTTTGTCTTTTATAAAAGTAACGACAAATTCGGCATTAACCAAGTTTTATTAAAAATGTTGGTCTTTTCTTTCATTTCCTCCCATTAATTTTTGGGAGATTACAAAACTAACATTCCATGCCTAATTTGTATCCTTCCAAACCCCTCCATTTCCTCCTCCTTTATTTATTTATTTATTTATTTATTTATTTTTTTTGTGTGTGTTAAAAAAAAAAATACCAAACACACCGATCATTTTTTATTTTCTATTGTAGTTTTAGATCTATGCTAGTGTAACGGATGCCCCACATTCAAATCCGATGTTGGACATCTCCCTCACTGTTAGGCCACCCTGCTTACCCTAGGGTCAGACTCGGACATCCTCTAAGCCGGAGGCTTGGCATGATAGCGGAAGGACTGGGTCTGGCTTTGATATTAAGAGTAACGGGTGAACGCTTGCCCATTTATCTAAAATCTTAAACTGTTAGATAGTGTAACATACCCACTCATTTATACATCCTTCAATCCCTATTCAAAGCCAATATAGGATAAATCCCACTTGTAACACCTAGTGTCTACTATATATGCATCTATTGCAAATTGAATAGGCACTCATTAATAACATTTCATAATTTTCTTAAACTAAACTTTGGGATTCAAGTTGGTTCCATCTATCAAGTTCGTTCCATTCGTTTGGGATTCAGATGTCTTCCTTATTTTTGTTTTAATTACATTAAACAATTCTTTAAAAAACAGCAAAAAGTGCAAGAAAGAAAATTCAAGTGAAAATGCGAATGTAGGGAAAACTTTCGTTATGAGCTTACCAACACGCATAACCATTTTTAAAGTTTTATGAAGACTATGTTATGTGGACGCCAAATAAGCTGACAGAAAAACGAATGTTGACATAAATTGTTTACATGACTTGTTTCTAGACACTTGCATGTTGAATATTTGTATAAAATTCTCTAGAAATTTGTTTTAAATTTAAATTTTTTTAACTATTGGGTAGACACACTTTTATAAATTTAAGACAATTGGGTATATTTGTTTCCCTGATAAAGGGAACGGAAGCATTGTTTGGTATCAAATTATATACCCACATCATATATTTTCCCTAAAAATCTCTTGGAATAAAAATAACAAAGTTTTAACACCAATAGTTTTTCTTACGTTGGTGAACCAAATTAACCCATTTTTAAGTTGATCCTATGATATTGTTATAGAAAGATTGCATGTAAGATTTGAAGGAAAAAAAAAAAAAAAAAACCATATTATGTTAGAAGATTTCTCCTCACGTTCAAGGGGAGAGTATTAATAACAGAATTGAATGTTCATTCCACTCTTTTGTAGCGTTTTTAGTTTGGTAGGAAAAATTAAAATTGGAATAATTATTCCAAACCATCCGTTGAAATGATAATTCTCACAAAAATCATTCCACGTTATTTTACTTCATAACCTTTAGAATTACCTTTCCATTTACATGTGATTTTTTAAAAATAAAAAATAAAAAAATTTCGCATTCCAACAAAGCCTTTCGCTAATCCAAAAACCACCTCCATCGCCATTGTCGCCTTCCACCACCACCACCAACATTGCCTTCCTCCGCCACCACACCACTGTCGTCGTCACCATCACTATTGTCGTCGTCACCATCGCTGCTGCCCAACGCTGCTGCTGCCTTCCACCACGGGTCCACGACCACCACCATCATCAGCACTGTCATTTCTTTTACAAAATTTATAGAAGAAAGATATATTTTGTTTGTTTAATTTTTTTATTTATTAGGAGGGGTATTTTAGAAAATTCAATTTAAAATTAATTTCTATTTAAGTTTTAAATTCAGTAACCAAACACTACCATAATAAAGGTTATTGTATTCTTACATCATTTCATATTTACAACTAAATAGTAGAATAAGAAGAATGACTATTCCATTCATTTCTCATTCCAATTTCATTTCAACCTATTTTTCATTCTGGCATAAAACATACTTAATTGTTCATAACTTTTTCATTCCCATTTCATTCCAACCTAAGTATGTTTTATGTTCTTAGGTTGGAATGAAATGGGAATGAAAAAGTTATGAACAATTAAGTATGTTTTATGCCAGAATGAAAAATAGGTTGGAATGAAATTGGAATGAGAAATGAATGGAATAGTCATTCTTCTTATTCTACTATTTAGTTGTAAATATGAAATGATGTAAGAATACAATAACCTTTATTATGGTAGTGTTTGGTTACCGAATTTAAAACTTAATTGTTCATAACTGAAGTTGTGAAACTCGTACTTCAAAGGATTGGCTTCTGTATCACAAATCCATAAGGTGAAACTCGTACTTCAAAGGGTTGGCTTTTGTATCCATAAGGCTTCCTTTGCTTGAGAGGAGAAATTGAGATATAAAAGAATAGGGATAATTTATGACTCTTCTCATGATAGAGGTCTATTTTTTTTCTTTTTCTTTTTTGGTATGTAAATCGAAAAATGATAAAAATGCTTACTAAACGGGTGCTCTAACCGACTTAACTATGAAAGCATGACAGGGACGAGTTTGGAGCATTACTATATATATATATACATATATATATATATTTCGATTTGAAATTCATTCAAATAAAAATTGCTGGAGACTCGCTCAAATAAAAGTTTGCTGGAGAATATGTATGTATATATATATATATTTAAAATTAAATTCACACAAGAATTTTATTTAGGAATTCAATCTTCGATCTTCTACTTCAAAAGTGGTTTGAAATTTGAAAATAAGTTTTCCATAACTACATGATTTCACCTTCTCTAATAAATATTCAGTGACCGGTGCACGGTGCATCGGGTTAATATGAGTTGTTCGTGATATGCATGAGTTAGACGCGTATTGTAGACACACGAGGCGCACCGAATATCTACTTCACCTCCTCACTTTACATTTTGTGCTTTTGGACCCTGGCCATTACTGGATGTCCAATCATGAGTCTCTTGAGGTCTGTAAATTTGATTTAGTTATTCCTATAGTTAATTTATTATTGGGAGATGCTATTCTTTCTCCATGAAAATATTTCGGCGCTCCAATTTAACTTTTATAATATCAAAATGACAATATAGTCCCAGAATTTGTTTTTAGGACAAATTGTATCCTTACTCGCATCATTAGACGTTTCTGTTATGTCGTTCTCCATAAATACGTTTATTCTTTTCCACATAGATCATCAGAAGTCCCTAGTAATGTTTGCTTCGTACCGAAACATTTTTGAAAAAAGACCAAAATCGAAAGCAAATTGATACTTTTGATTACTTTCGCACAGTAGCAAAAACATTGTTCATTAAAAAATAAAAAATAAAAAAAAAATAAAAAAAAAAACATTTTTAACTAGCCATTTAATTTTTTAAATTTGCAAATATTTTTTTTACTAAACATGCTTTTATATTTTTGTTTTCAAAAATCTTGTAACAAATATACGTTACCAAACAAACTTTTAAATAGTATTGAACACTATTTAAAGTAAAAACATTGCTTCGACTTTGGTCGAAGTAAATGCACAAAACAATTATGATTGCCAAATGTATACCTCCAGAACCACTTTTTCTTGAATGGATTATGTGAGACCTAATGTAGGTAAACAATTTTCTCTATTTGTATTCCATTTTTCGTTAATACCTGCCACCACTTCAGATTCTTTCCTGAGTCGGTACGTGTGTATGTGAGCACACTTAAATGCATCCAATGGAGAGATCTTTGTCACTCCAATTCAGTGGACTAGTTGTGCAAGTCCATCACTTCTCTCTCCTCTCTTCATTGATTAAAATTTCGGGCTGGACTCGGGTTATTTTGGATTAGGCCCGCCCAAGTTACAGCCCTAACTATTACCCCTCATATACTTTTCTACGATCGTCCCTGTGTATGTGAGTACACTTTAATGCATCCAATGGAGAGATCTTTGTCACTCCAATTCGGTGGACTGGTTTTGCAAGTCCATCACTTCTCTCTTCATTGATCGATCTCCTCTTTATTACTAAAGTGTTTGTAGGGTTTGGCACGGCATGTCTTGGGCCGAGAATGTTGATCAAGGAAAGCAAAAGGCAATTTACTTCATGCGTCATGCATGACATCATATCTTATGTCCATTTTGCAAACTGAGTGTGAACGTTGTAAAGTTGTAGACTTGTAGTACTCAGCACATTTATTTCAAAGAAGCCGTTTGTACTATCAATGTGAAACCAAGTTGCAGCAGGTGGCATCTTGGAGTGACAAAAAGTACGAAGGAATTGCCAAACATGAAAAAAAATGCAAGTAAAAATTTGTCCCTGTTTTTTTTAACAAACAAACTTAGGAAGATTACATTAAAACAACATAATTAATTGTACATGCATGTGACAACTTTTGACAAAAAAAAAAAAAAAAAAAAAACTTACTTACCGAATACAACTTTTGACAAAAATGTCTCTTGTTTCTTTATTTCCTCTTGCATACAGGAGCCAAAACTTTCTTTATTTTTTCTTTCAAAATATAATATTAATTGGGTAATCGACGATGCAAACAAA